AATTTTCAGCTTTTGCTAGCTCTGCCTTCAGAACAGCTGTATTCAGAAACTCCCATCTGTGAGGCAGGAGAAGGATCCTTGAGGAGGGGTACTGTTTGATTGAACACCTGCCTTGTTTATCACTGTCTGTGAGGGTGGTGAGACACTGGCATAGGTTGCCCAGGGAAGAAGTGGATGCTCCCTCCCTGGAAGTGTTCAGGGCCAGGCTGGACAAGGCTTTGGGCAGCCTCGTCTGGTGGGAGGTGTCCCTGCCCGTGGCAGGGAGTTGGACTGGATGATCTTTAAGGTCCCTTCCAACTCAAACCATTCTGTGATTCTATTCTACTTCCTCTATTTGGCAAAATGTGGTGCAACAAGTACACAGCCTTACCTGCTCCAGTGCACCAACCTTACACTGCAGCTTATTAATGACTTCCTGCACTGCACAGCTAGCATACCTAAATTTTGCTATTTCATCTGATACAGAGGGCACTCAAACTTCTGTAACAGAAAAAAGGGAACCAAACTGCTTTGATTATGGTATAGACCCTTTATTAGTTCAACTTTTATACAAAGTGTACTTCAAAGTGATACAAATAGTGTTACTGTTTCTCTTACAGGCTAGAAATTAAGATCTGTTAAGCACTGTTTTATCCTCCTTGTGTATATAAAGGTAGAAAATGTAAATAGATTGGCAGTGAACCGTAATGCTGGAAGACAGCTCAATGTTTATTTGTTAATATAAAGTTGCATAGAATTGTAGGTCTTTATAAAGGCATCTATCTATGTGGTAAAATCTCCCTGACCTACTATACTTCATTCACTAAGCAGTACGGAAGAAAGGCAAGGCTCGTACTGCTCCCTTGAGATACTACCCAGCACTTCTAAGTAAAATGGCTGTAGAAAAGCACCATGCCAGAAACATCCAAGAGGACAGCACATGGAAAATTTTATTTGCAAGGCTACCCCTTGCTAGATATCTTAGGATCTGCTTGCCACCTGGGTTCTACTAACACATTAAATTTCTTAAAAACACCCAAGAACTTCAGAGATAAAAACACTTTTGGGCAGTCAAAATACTTCACTGTATTAGGTATTTGCTCGATTATGTAATTCCATTCCTTTCTGTGCTGACAAGAAACTATGTGTGTTGTTGGATTAATTTATCTCATGAGACTGTTAATCTAAGACAGGAATTATACTAATTAAAAACTGCCACCTTAATTAGAAAGTCCAGCAGAGTTCTTCCTAGCCACTCCTGCACCTGACTCTGATGCACGTTCTCAGTTCCACGCCTTTTGCTGAAACTCATCTAAACCTACCAGAAAGTCTTACCAAAATTACTGTTCCCGTTCCAGATAAGGTAATCCCAGCAGCAATGGTCCACACTGCCTGAGATCACTACCAATTTTTTGCTTTGGGAGGAGTGCAGGAGAACAGGGAACACAGCAAACATCATCTTGTCTTGAATTTGACTTCTGGAATAGAAAAGTCAGTCGATATTTTAAACTAGTTTAACATATCTGTAACCAGCCTCTTGGGTCTTCAGAGTAAGTACGTAAATGTTGATTTTCTTTCAAAGACAAACTCACCACCCACTTTAAAATGTTAATTTATCTAAATACATTCTTAATGTTACTCTTTCACCCAATTTAATACAGGATAAGGATTTACTCAACTCCTTGTAATCTCACATACTTAACAGCTTGCTCTCTACGGGTTTGTTTGTGAGTCTCCAAGTTTTGGTACTATTACATGTAGTTCCCGCTTACTTGTGGCTAAAGATTTAATCTCCTTTTAATTCTAATGCTGTGTTATTGCTTACACTGGTAGGCTGGCTGGTGGAACAAGGCTGGCGCAGTTGCATCGTTGCTCTCAAGCTGAGGGAAGGCAGTTGGACCACACTTGCTCTTTCTCTCCTCGCTCCAGAGCCTTTGCTCTCCCTCTTCAAAGTGCTATTGGAAACAACTAAAAATACAACTGCTTGCATGGTTACTGGTCCACCTGGGTAACAGTTCAACCTGTGCTCGGCACAGTTCCACTTGGAATTGGCCAAAGTCTGATTTAGTATAAGAACAGTATGACCAACAACTCAGTGCTGGAACCCTCCTGTAATGCACTTTTAGCAGTGTCTCTCAGATGATCCCAAGATATGATCATGACTAGCAAAGTACCATTTCCAAGTGAATGTCTTCACTTACACCAAGTCTACTTCAATATACGGACCCTTAGTTTTTATAGAGGATTAAAAGGCTATTTGAAAGAAAGAAAAAAATCCCTTGCTTCTGCCAGCTGCTATCAAGCTGTGCAATACATGCTACAAATAGATTAAATATTAACATAATGGGCTATTTCATTTCAGCCTAGTTAATTTTAAGACAGGCAAAATGATGACAATACTTAAGCATGTGCCACTCTGTGAGTGGTTCATTAGCAGAGGAAAAATCTTTTAAGTGCAGAACTGAGGAATGGAATTAAGCTTATATCAACCAGAGGGATCTGGGATCTGATGCTATTAGCTACTATGTGCCAAATTAAAATAACTCTGCAGGTGCTTCCTCACTGCTAAAGGAACCCCAAGCTGCCAGGTCCTTGCAGCAGCAGGTGGGCCCAAAGCACTGCCATGTTTCAATACTGGAAGTTCAGACTCTCCAGAGCTGGTAACTGGAAGCTCCATAGACTGCATAGCAGAGTCTTTCCTTGCCACCTAGAGCGTGTTTTCTCACACAGTTTGTCACCCAGGGGACAGAGAGCAAACCAGATGCTAAGGAAACACTGAATATACCCTGTTTTCTATACTAGAAAGAATTTACTCATAAATAAATGGGTGAAATTCCTGAAATTAATTCCTAAAACAAATGTAGAGATCCCATTATGGAGAAAGCACAGAGCCAGTAACTTGCTTTTTTCTGTGGTCAGAACAGAAAAGATTGAGTGATCATTACTGCCCTCCAACTTGGGAAAGATGATCCAGATCATTTGAGTTCTACAGGATTTTGAAGGAATTTTCTTCTTTCTTCACATTAAACAAAGTAGATAAAGTCACATCACAGAACCACACAGTTACTGTACACAAAAAAGCACTGATCAATCCTATGAAATCTGGTGTTGCCAAGACACTTGAAAATGAGTATGAATGAATGCTGAAAGAGTCACACAGACCACAGACACTAACAGCTTGCTTATTTAGAACACAAGATAATAAAAGCATTCTTACTTTCTACCTACAGCTTTAATATGTACACTGATGCATGTAAATTGACCGCTGAATGTTCAGTGTGAATGAAGGCCTTCCCAAATTATAGCTACAGTTTTACTGTTTCAGATTGTTAAATATGGCTGCTTAACAGATAGGCTATGTCATGAGAGTTGGTGAGACTGATACAGTGACCCAAATACTGGCAATGATTGTGATTTAATCTACAACAAAAGGACTGGGACCAAGTAAATATTTGGACATAACTCTTCCCATGAGTGTTTTCTTTCAGGGAAAAAAAATGAAACAGAAAACCAAACAAAACCAAACTTTTACAGAAGAGTTATTTCTGTCAGTTTTAAAGTGTACAAGACCTGAACCTGTGCACACTTGGTACTAAAGAAACAGCAAGCTAAAAGCATTTATTAATGCCTGAAATTAAGACAGTGCTGACTGCAAGTGTTCATAATGTAGTGTATTTGCTGAAGAAGGTTGCTGCCTCTCTCTTTGGTTATGCTGTTAGCCATAAAAGCGTTGCTCTGAGGGACAGCAAGGCATGCACAGTAATGTATTTGCTTTCTGAAGTAGAAAATGAGCTTATTCAGATTGTTGCACCTGCATAAGTTTTTCCTGAAAGTTCAAAACTGATTTAGCACATTCAGTAAACAGGAGGCCAGGTTCTATCCTAGTTACTCCACTGAAAAAACTGCAACAGAGGACAGAATATGGCTTAATTATAGCACTGAAAACTACGTGAACAGGCTGTGAAAGAAGTTTAAAGTCACTGAACTGCACAGGTTTCTCATGCAGTCCTTACAGGCAAATGCCTCCTTGATTCCGTATTTGTGGGTCTGCTAAGAAATCCTACCTCTTAAACAATTGCAAACTTGAGTACTAATAAGGATGTCTGCAGTCCAAGTGACTGTGCAAATACTTGTCTGTTGTGGATATTAATGTTCAAGTAGCCCTAAACCTGCCAAAAGAAAATTAAGTATACTCAATATTAAAGATACTGAGTACCAAATGGGCTGGTCTTAAGCTTAAAGGACCCTGTAGAAACAGTTGATACTTTCATATAGAAAAGCTTCAAATTTTTAAATAAAATGCAGATCCCCTCCCACAAACTCCCAAGTTACACCCACATCTTTTTAAAAGGGTTTAGATCACTATTACCTTGGACTTCGGTATTAGTCTCAAGTGTGTAACAGCTTGGGAAATTAGAGAAACTCTAAAGTAAAAGTCAACCTCACCTGTAGCTGTTACATAGCAGTAGAATTACAATTTAAAGTGCTTTATTGAAATAGACCTTCTAGAGACCATAAACAAACAAAATTATTCATTTCTACTATCGACTTACTAATTCTATTACTGACTTTTCTCCAAATTAAGTATATCCCAAATGTCATCACTGATGATCACATTTTCCTTCTGTTTCAAGTATAAGCATAAACCAGACTTAAAGGGACTATAATGGACCAGGAAGGAACCTTTTAAGTACCTTTGACTTTAAAAGGCTCTATGTTTCAGGCTTGAAAGACTCCTATAAATGATGCATTGAAGACATAAATAAGTCTCCTTCCCCCTTTTTATAAAAACATTAGCTAAAAATGTATTTGGCAATTACCCATTTTAATGCCCGGTGTTCCCTAAGAGAAAATTCTCCCATTTGTTTTTATGGACCAAGAGGAAATAAAGCAGTAATCTTGATTTAAAAAGAAAGTCAATGAGAAATGATAGAGAGTTTACCAATCACTCATAGGAAGTAGAAGAGTTGGCCAGATGGTCACAGAAATGAGAAGAAAATGTTTTCTGAGCTTACTTCTGTTTAGATAACTGTAACTTCCCTAGGTTTTCGTTTCACGCTCTCCAGTCGTGCTAGAGGGCGGAAATTTGTTGACTTCTTGCTTCCCTCTGTTGTAGTTAATCGACAGTCCTTCTGCAGCCCCCTCAGCAGCTCCATTAACTCCCGCTTTTCCAGCTCTGCCTGCTCCAGCTCTTGGCGGTGCTGTCTCTCTGCTGCCATCAGAGAGCGCACATCTGACATCATTCGTGACATCTGACTCTGAAATGCAATTACAAATTCAGCACGGGAAGCAAACGCTTTTCTACTGATGGTTGCATGAAGCTGAACTGGCCATGCATGTCAGCTGATGGATTATAAGGAATAAGCAACACTGAAATAATTCTTTGATAGCGGAACAAATGTAAACAATTTGAGACACAATCCAGCATTCACCTTTGGAAACGGTCTTTTGATTCAAAGATCCCAATACGTTTTTCCTAAAAGTGCAAAAACTTTATTGCAAAGTATAATAAGAAACAGTGGATTTACCCAGTTGCTACTTGCATTTTCTGTTTCAAGACACCAACCAAAATATGGTTTTGGTTATGTTCAGATACATTCTTCAGGGATTTAACATCAAATCCAGTAAAAAGAAAAAAAGTAAACTACAAAGCACCTCCATTGCTTTGGGATTTAAAAATCATTATTCTGTGATATATTAAGAACTGGAAGAATAAAAGACAAGATGGCCTTGCTTGTTACTTGATTAAGTTTGCAGCATAACTTTCCAACCTTTTGATCACCGCTGAACCACAGTGTAAACACTACTGTCTGCAGTAGGGCTCTGTGTCAGCACTGGATTAAGCCACTTTGGATAGCACTAAAAAAGGAGTTGGATGTTTAATTACAACTGATTTGTGATGTATGCCCTATGTTTAGACACTGAAAATGAGTTTCAGACTGATCTGTCGACATGTTATGCATGCACCGAACAATGCAGTCCTTGTACAGGGGTATCCAGGTTAGCACCAAATGAATTTGAAGTAGATAAACCACATGAATACAGCACTCGGGCTGCCCCTCAACAGAGCTGATCAGCCCAGGCTCACACCTGGCTTCCTTCCCATATTTAATGTAATTCTCATCTGTATGAGATCACATTTACAAAATAAGAAACTACTACTGGAAAAAAGGCAAAAAGCTAGACTGTTAGGAGAAGAAAAAAAAAGAACAAAATAAAGTGATCATATTTACCTTTAGTTCTTCGATTTCATTTTGCAGAATACTCTCTTTTTGGACCATATGCCTTCTCTGTGAATCTAACCTTGACTCCATCTCATGTTTTGCTTCCTCAACTCTGCAGATCATCTCTGACCTAAAAAGTTTATTTCTCCTTGTTAGGTCTTGCAAGCATGCAAAAAAAAATTATTTTCAAATTCCAGAAAGCATTATTGCAGTCAAACAGCCCACTCTGATTCCCAGCACACTCTACAGGGCACCTCTCTACAGACTTGTTGGTTTTATTTAAATTAGTAAGTAGTACTATCATTAAAAAGTACATTGTGCCCAGGAGGCACTAAAGTGACCACAGACAGCCTATACAGGGGACAACTACATCATATTCCTGAAATAATTCTATGAGCTCAAGATCATGTATTTATGACTTCAAATGATTTACTGCCATTTACTTATAGTATGTGCTTGCCTAGTATTACTAAGCACAGGTACTCAAGATAAAAAGTGTGAATACTATAGTATTGCTAAACACTTGTCACTTTTATGGTGGACACTAAATCATAGTATGCAGTAAATGATTACAACCTAATCACTCACACAGATTCACAGCCAAAACCTAGCTGTTGCTACATTATTAGCCTTTTGAGCTCAAAAGTTACACAGCAGAATCCCTTGTTTCTCAATGCATTTAAACGACATTTGAGCCTGACTTCACAGCAACATGGAAATGGGAAGGAGCATTGAGAAAAACCAGTCCAACTAGAAGATCATGGAAAGGGAAAGCTGTAGGAACATACACAAGAGGAAAGAGAGGATGCCAGTAAGAAGAGTCATATGCACCAACTGTTATTAATTGGCCAGGATTTTAATCGCAATTGAAAATTAGATTGTCAGAGGTTTAATCTACTAGTCTGTATCTGCCAAAATAATTTAAAATATAGACCAATCATGAATATTAAACAATGTGACTTTGGGTCTATGTCAGGCCAATGGAAAAAATGAAATTGCCAACTTCATTCCAGTTCTTCCTAGGTATTTTGCAATTTTATACAGTCAGCCTGCTGTTCAACTGCGAGCAATGTATTTTACAATTTATGACAACTTGGATAAAAAAAAACTAACAGCAAAAAACCCTCAAACCAGTAAGAATTTAAAGTCTATGCTGACACAAAATACCACTGCGGCTCATTTGTATCAAGTAATTAACAGACCATTTAGCACATACCAGAATCTGGCGCTAGTATTTGAAGTGCTTTATGAAGTGATTTTAGGCCCAGACTATCACAAACACCAAAAAAACAGAAGATTTGTACCGAAGTAGTTCAAGCTCGGTTCTTAGCTCTGCTACACAATTATGCTGCGTGTCTTCTGCGCTGAGGATGATGTAACCACAGCCATTGGGGCACTCGCGGCTCCGATATTCGCACACTGCCAGGTGTCCATCCAAGTTGCGTCGTTCAATCTGAACTGTACAGCCTGAACAGGGAACAGTAAGGTAAGGCAGTCATTTGCAAATAACAAAAGCATTTTAATTGATTCCAAACACAAATACTCAAGCAAATAAGCTAAACAACTGTCAATCTGTTAAAGCACTGAAAAAAGTGATTTCTTCAGAATACAAAATACGACAGTTTTAACACACATACTAGTAATAAAATACTCTCAAAAAGCCTTATAAATGTATTTATCCATTAACTGAAAATGTGTATTAAAAAGTAGGTACTTTCTGTGAAGTCTCCTGCACTGGTCTGGCATTAAAGCAACTGCAGTAATGACAACACTGATGCCAAGCTAAGGCTTGAGCAGCATGCCTGCACTTCCACCACAGACTGCAACGACTGGAATTGAAGAAGGATGCATGTGTGTAAAAAAAAAAGACTATGTATCAAATTAGGAAAAAATGTCTAAGGACATACAGTAAAACTGTGAGGGAGACAGAACGTAACCTTGTTTTCTTGAACATTGGTTGGTCCTGCGTATAACGCACTAGACCACATAAACAAGAACATTTATTTATGAACACTTAGTATCTGATGCAAAAATAGAAACATTTCCACAGAAATTCTTGGATAAAAACTTTTCAAGTCTGTAGTGTAAAATGTGCAGAACCAAAAAATAACACTTTATAACTTATTGCTGCATTTAACACTCTAAACTTTGAAGTCTGTGGTCTTTACTTTTAATCTTTGAGTCACTGATGTAATATATAGCTCCTCTCATTTCATTTGAAGATAAAATACATGTAGGAAAACTGAAACAATGGAGCAGCAAAACTCGTCAACAAACCATACCAGAAAGTTACAAAAGACAGCCTTCTAGAACAGCTTAACTAATCTTACAAATAGTTTTTGTTTAAACCATGAGACGGAGTGAGTAGCTACAAATGCACCAAAGAACTGGCCATTTTATACATAGTGACCCATAAGAACTCTGTAGGTGCTATTACTGTGATTTAATTATCAAAATGAATAATCAAAATTGAAAGACAAACTCATGACTTGACAGAAAGCAAACCAAACACACTACTGCATTTTCAGGAATTTGAAGTCCATCACTCTCATTTATTTTGCTTAGCTCTTGGATAACAAATTGTTACTAATGATCATGATTGCCATCAACTGGTTACAAATTTTGTTTAAAAAGACTGCTGTAAAGAGTAGATCATGCTAAAGCTTTGAATTTCTGTTTGGAAATAACTGCCATTATTGCCATTCTGTTGACAGAAAGATGACATAACGCACGTTTTCCGAACAAAAAGGACCTGCCTTGTTTGACTGTTACTCACCAGCATTGGAGCACGGTATCTGACTGTATTCACACTCCCTTTCGTGTCTGTCTATGGACTCCAGAGAACAAACCATTTCACAGCCATACTCTCTGTTTTTACAATGTAGCTGGAGACGGTTCAAATCATTTTTCATATATCTACATGCAAAAAGAAATTGTTCTTAAATCTGGGAACATTATTGAAAAATCTGTATTTTTCAGCTTTTGGGAAAAGAAAGTAAGGTTCTAATCTTCATTGGGAAAAAATATGGATAATCAGTTTAATTTTTTTTTTTTAGCATTCAAGTGACTGTATTGGAAAAGAAAAGGCTTTAAAGAAACAAAGTGAATGGAAAATTCGGTCTCCAAAATTAAATGTGCAAATGAAAACTGTATTTTTGAATAAATTTTTAACTGTGACCTTTCACTATCTCACCAGATATTACCAGCAACAAACAACAGGGCTGCCCATTCATCATTTATGTTTCGTGTTTCTAAACATGCCAAATCTAACTGACTACAGTGAGTACAGACAAAACAATCCACAAATTAAACTCTAGGGTTCTGTCTACACAAAATTTCAACTTTCCACACAGTAAAATCTCTTTAGTGACAAAAATACTGGCAGTACTAATGGAGTTAATTTGACATCTATGGCTGAGGGTTTTAAACACAACATAACGTCATCTGAGCAAGATTAGACAATGCAGGGGTTAACCGGCAAGCAGTGGCTACTAATGACACACAGTGTGCTGGGAAGGAACTATGGAAGACACTTATGAAAAGAGCCTGCTTTACATGACAAGGTGGCTCAAGTCAGATATTCTTACGCCTAAGACCTTTTAAAAAAAGGATTTCAAGGTGAGAAGTTTGGTTCACATCTACAGGAATTATTCATTACAAATTCCACTACAGTATCTAGGTAAGATTGAAAAGAAAAACAAAATATACGGTGTTTTGTGATAAGTTGCTTTGCTGGCTTTCTCTAAAAAAGTATAGGAAAGTTTTGGTGTTGCAGAAGACATTCAGAATAATATCCACAAAGACACCTAGAATCAGCATTCAAAATATTAAAAAGTAAAAAACAAACTAAGTGTTCTTTCTAATTTGAAATCTTAATACCTTCAAAGTAAGTTATAAGAACAGAAAATGCTAATTCTGTCATGCAAGTGATCGGTTTCTGCCACAGGCATACTGGATAAAGACAATCTAAGTGACAGTAAATGACAAGAGATGAAGCTGTGCAAGCAGAGTTGAGAAACTGATGTAACTTCAACACACAGCAAGATTATTGTATACCTGTAAAGAGGTCGTAGCAGAGACACGTCGATCATTTGTCTGTCTTCAGGGCAGTTACTGTGATGAACAAGCCACCCATGTATACAAGCAGTACAGAAAGCGTGTTCACAAGGCGCCTGTAATGGATCTTCTAACACGTCACGGCAGATGGAGCATAGCAGCCCTTCATTAACGTAGCCAACAAAGCGCTCAATATCATAACCCATGCTCTCCACACCCTTTCAACCTATTGAAACAACACAGAGAAATAAAGCAGTCTTTGTCCTGAATCTGTACAGCTAGATCCACAAAAAGGCCTGGAAGCAATTCTAGAAATACTGAGAACTTACAGTGAATAAAGAATTCACAGGTGAGAATGCAAACACATACTTTAAGATTTAAGTGAGAATCTGAGGATTGTACTGCTGGATGGCAGAATCCCAACTTTATATGAAGATTCTCTGAATTCTGAAGGCAAAGACTTCAGCAGACAGTTAAGCCATGCTTGTTCTGTTCACAGCCACTGTGAAACATATAGTTTCTATTTACTTGAATTCTACCTGAAGCAGAAACATCATAGACGTTCAAATGCAAACGTTTGCTTTCTATTTTCATGCTTTCTATTATAACACCTAACAAACGCACAAAATGGTGTCCTTAGACGATAGCTGTGGTACTTTCAGCCAGCAGATTTTGTATTTATCAACTGCACATCACTTACTGTGTTGCTTTCATACTGAAAAATAAGGCTGAGAGTCTCTACTCATTGTAGACTTCCATTCCAGAGGGAACAGCATGAAATCTCCAGATGCCTAGAGAAATACTTAAGATTTCAGAAGATAAAGAAGCCAAAACTGCCGCTAACCCTAAAATCATGAGGAGTCTTCTCCTACATGGTCGATTTTATAAAACTGAGTAACCTCTAAATGGGTTTGGAAGCTTCGTGAAGAAGAACAGGCAAACTGCCTTAATCCAAATCCTACCATGAAAAGCCTAGCAGAATTTGATAAGACTCCATAGAACTCACTTAAAAAAACAAACGTTTTAGGCTTCATGTTCCTCCTTAAAATACAAAATTACTTTTGTAACCCCACTGAGACTTGTGCAAGTGATTGCCCTTAGTCAAGAGGTTTTCTAAGTAAAACAGAAAAGGAAGATATCCTACCTCTTTGGATTTTACTACATATATAGGTAGTTTGTTCAAATACGTCAGTCTTCTGATCAGTAAGACGTGCAATACTTCCTTTCTTCCTTCAGTTTCTTTTCACTCCTTTCTTACGGCTGTAAGAAAAATCAGAAAGAAAAAGCTCAGTAGTGTTTCCTAAGTTACCAAGTCCTGTGCCTAACCAGTCAGCTGCTGAATAAATGCTGCTCTAACCACCCATTAAAACAAAGCTTTCCAAAGCAAGCCACTGTAAAACCTACAATTCAACACAAGAGATCTGGCTAGATCAGGGAGTACAAAAAAAAGAAAAAAGGTCATCAGTTTCACAAAACTGAACACCCTGCTGCCATTGAATTTTGAACCCTTACAGTTTTGTTTGTAAGACTGAAGACAACAGAATTCAATATTATTGAAAAGTAACAACTGAAATCTGGTAAAATTATATTCCTTAAAAATATGAAAGTTTCTTATTTAATCTGGTTTTATCTGGCAGGCTACACAGTTAATTTTTAAAGCTATCATAGTCAAGTTCATTGTACTGACAACATTGATCTGATGTGTAGCATAACTAAGATTGCTCACTTGAAAGAAAAAATTAAAAAGGATTTAATCACTTAAACCCCTTAAGTTGATATCCAGCAACTGTAATATGATATTCAAAGAGAATCTCCATCTGAATTAGAACTGTGTAAGAACAATAAGGACCTCTGAGGACTACTGTCAAATTTTGCTCTAAAGGGAAAAAAGAACTTTGCAATTTCTCTTCATGAACACAATATAAATCTGGAATTTAGAAGATCTTATGTATCTGAGTATCAAACCGTATCTTCAGTGATTATGAAAGGTGCTTGTGTTAAAAGGCTATTTGCTAGGATTAAAGTTAATAAAACCTATGAAGCATACTGAACAGAAGCAAGCACGCATATGACCGAAACACAAAACACATCATCTGCTACATCGTTTCCACACTGTGCTCTGTTTCTGCTGGCATGTTTATCACACAGCCAGCACCATGGCTTGCAGAGATGCCTGAGCCAGCTTTAGATTAGCTGGGACACCTACTACCCGGCTGACCTAGTGACAGCATTGCCACAGCACAGGGAGTGCAATCCACATCCACTCCTGACAAGGTCCCAGGCAGCTTTCACAGACTGCATTTAGCTCTGTGCTTCTGTGGCAATGTTGTCATCAACAACACAGGGAAACTAAATTTACAGGTATCTGAGTGTCCTATTTACATTATTATCCTTTCACGTTATTGATATTGTTTCATTAAACTTGTTAGTTATCTTTTTCAACCCGTGAGTCTCTCTTCTTTATTCTCTTTCTTTTCCCCTTCTAGGGAGAGGAGAGGGGTTAATAAAGAGCATCTGTCAGTCACTGAGTGGCCAGCCCAGCCCTAAACCTTGACACTGGGAGAAGCTATTCCTTTGGCCACAGCATGCACATTCTATGTCTTCGAATAGTCTGCACAATAAATATTATGAAGAAGATAAACAGTTCTTTTTATACTGTTTTTTCTGTGTATGTTTTTACAGGTCTCCTGTAAAGACAGAAAATGCAGGGCTTTGTTAGATCAGCATGAACAAAAGTCTGTTCAGCATGGACCACAATGAAAAGCTTAAAAAGTGGAGAACAATGCCAATTATCAGTAGCAGAATGTGAAGTCAAGGACTAGTTCCTAATAGGGATGAAAACATTGAGACATACAGTATTTAGGCTGGTTGGCTGTTAAACAGCGTATATGCATTCCATAATACGAAGTGTGAGGCTAGAATTCTGATTTGGCTTGGTGGATCCCAGAGGATTCAGCTTTTAGAAAACTTTCATAGAGATACAAGATGTCAACAGAACTGTGAGTATTTTTGCTGTCCTAGGGTTTCTGCTCTACTGGAATTGCGGATGCTGTAAGCTACATTTTGCACACATGCTGCTGATGCCTGAGCACTAAGACTTCAAGACACTCTTTGGCATATTTTAGCAAGTTTGAAGAATGTAGGAAATGGTATTTTTATCAAGTGGGAAACAAAAACTTTATGTGTACTTGACAGAAAAATGAAGTGCAACACATACACACACACATAAAGCCCCAGCCAAAATCAGAGTTCAAATGGAGAGTGGATAGGAACCGAGAGGCAAAAAAAATACAGTCAAGGGGGTTTCTGATAGGAACTTCAGTATGTTTTCAAGATCGATGGTGGAAAAGCATCATCCCACACAGCGCCAGAGTCCTCATGGCTTTGAGTCCAAGACCTACATCACTGAAGTCCCAGACCTCTTCCAGTAGAAATTTCCTGCTCTGAAGAACTAGAGATGTTTTCTCTTCTGCCAACTTTAAGAGATGCACTTCAGCCAACAGATAAGCAGAGGGAGAGCATCAGATGAATGCCATGGACTCTAACAGTACGGATCACTTTACTCAGTACTTCCACTACAAAATGACACAATTTTCAATGTCTGCTCTTCCCCAGAAACTTCTACTTACTTGATATAGCCTCAAAATCTCTTCTTCTATTTCTGCTACAATTCACTGCTTGACATACTCCTCTTTTGTTTGCACCGAGAAACTACATTATGTATCACTGCCTTCCCATGTTCCACTAACCTTTCCAAATCTTGCCTTGTCTTTGGTTTCTTTTGTCCAGAATTTTGCCCATTACCTGGCCATTACCAGTGACACTGAGACCATGAGAATATCTAGAATTTGCAAGTGCCAAATTTGGAAGGCAGAAAAACCCCAAACTATTACCTGCTATTTTACTTCCACTGTTTCACATACATTTTATTTCTCCCCATAGTTTTTGACATGCAAAATCTTCCCCTAGACTTCACAGATAGGAAGTCCTTTTTTAGTAGCTATCATCCCATTTTGTTCGTCAGGCAAACCTAAAACCAGCCCTGAGCTACAGCCTGCACTGCCTTCAAACAGAGATTTTGTGTGGCTATTAATAGCAGGTAGACTACAGATAGGATGTAGCTCTCAACAACATAATGGCACAGCTTACTAAATGTCTGGCACTAATCAAAGCTATTGCATTGTGAAAATCAGGACAGTGCAATCAGATCTGTGACTTGTATTTTTACTTCTACACTACTTTCTGATTTTTAACACCTGTTTCTTTTCCATGTGACAAAACAAAGCAGGGCTGGAGGGAATCACAACAGAACCACCAGTGAGCATCACTAAGACAGTATTTCTAGAAGTCCTATGTGGCTGGAAGAACAAACAATCTATGCAGGGCTCAGGGACAAGATGACATTAAAATAAGCTATTGCTTCAGCTTCTCTTTTCACGAAGATATGCTGTGCTTGAAACCCTGCTGTAAAGAAGCAAATATTTTACTGTGTCTTGTGCCATTCTGCCACAGTCACTGTAAGCCAGTTTAAGTCAGCATTAATGTCCAAAGAGGTGAATTAACTCCTTTAACTGTGACAGCACAAGCTGTTTCTACAGCCACTTGATGCACTGTACTGGGTAACTGACCTGTTTTGGGACTGAAACGGAAGAAAAAAGTTTTAACTTTGACACTACTCCCTCAGCTCAGCTCCCCAGACTGGTACATTGTGGAGTCCCATGCACATTCATGTAAGAGAAAAGGTGCAGAAGATACAAATAAATGGATAGCAATACCAGCTTACACAGATGTAAAAACCAGACCCAGCAACAAAAGTGTCTATAATAACCACTAAGAGCCATACAATTAATTTAAGGGTTCTCTCTATACCAGGAACTACCTAAGAAACTAGAACTACTTTTCGTCAAAGAAAAATTTTACATGACACTTTCACTTGCCATCCTGCTGCAAAACCAACTCAAAACAGAGCTACACAAGATACAGATCTCACAGACCACCTCGTAGGCTTTAAAGGGCCGGATCTTGTTGCACAGAGTCAAAACCAAAGTCAGACGAAGTCTCCTCAGAGGCTCTGGCGGGAAGGAAAGGACTTCGCACAGGCAGGAGGAAGGTCTTTGGGTCATGCCTGGGCCGGCTTTTCAGGAATGGTCACCGGTCTTGGTCACAGAGAGCAGAACTAGCCTGGAAACACCTGGACAGCAGCACCACACCGAGCAACCGTCCCTCAGCGCGCTTAAACACTCAAGGCACCAGCACTGACCTCCACCTCGATGCTCAGCAGGGGACAGCCAGCCTACCCTCCACCAGCCCGGCACAGGGGCTGAAAAGGCCCGCCCCGGACCTGCCGCCGGCGACAGACCCCGCAGAAATGCTCCCCCGAGACGCCTCCCGATCCACGGCCCGGCCCAGCTCCCCTCGCTCTCGCAGCACGGCTGCCTACAGCCCGCCCCAGCCCCAGCGCCAGCCCGCAG